CTAGGAGTATCAAATGTGGTCACGAAGGGATATAACATGCGACGTGATCCCTGCCTAGTTACTACCCTTTTGGCGTAAAGGGATTCGACACGCGATATGCCTCACATTTCTACTAGTACTGAGCTGTGCAAGTATGAAGATCGAATTCAAAGCAGTGCAATGAAGAAAAGGGATTAAACGCGCGATTGTTAGCTCCAGATATAATTTTTATGTGCGCACGAATAATTATTAAATCAGTATTCAAAACAGTTATCTTTATAATCTAATCAACAATTAAATATCAATAAATATTAAAGGCATTTATCTAAAAACTTAAATACTAAAGAAAAAGGTCACTCAGTGATAAATCTCACCTGCAAATCCTATCACCCACAATTCACAATATATTCAGCTTCTCCCAAACCGCACCTACAACCACTGAACAGAACTTTTCTGAAACGCTAAAATAACCAGTGTTGCCAACGCAAATAACGGAATTACCCTCAGAAATTCCTCAAACAGGAAACACAATTTAGATTCAACCATACAAATAAGAAAAAACTTTATAGTTTTGTTTGTTTTTGTAGACATTAGACAAACAATTTAGTTCATCAACAAAACATCAGGCCATCTAATAGCGAAGAAATACATTTTGAAGTAATTATTTAAAGATAACTATATTTTCCTTTTAATTGCAATAAAAAATATTAAGTAATCTGTGAATCACTGGTTTCTCGCAAAAATCTCAGCACACAAAAGATCTATTTTTAAAACCGAATACATTCTTATGTTTTATGTAACGTGTAGTAGTCCAGTTGTCTATGTTTGCACTTGTACCAACTTATTACATTACCAATTATTGACTTAGTCTACTGCTCTTTATCCGTAGTATCCTGCCACACTTGTTGCCATTTAGTAAGGCTAACCTCTCTCTTGAATATCTTTGCCTTCATCTTGTTTTCTCTTTCCTAAAGTCTAGCTCTCTTGTAGTCCTAAAAGTGTGTCGGTACCATTCCAGTTACAACTTGTATAGCCTTTAGTGACGGTGTCTTGTAGGCGCTGGCGATCCACAGCGCAACTTTCCTTTGGGTCCTCATCTTTTTTCGATATGTTGGTACGTTCATGGCTTGCGCCCATATGTGTGTTCCATATAAGATGATGGAGTGTACTACTCTAGCTAGGCCATTCCGTTTCCTGCTTTGGAGGCCGCCGATGTTTTTGATCAGCCTTCTTCCTACACTTTGTTAAGTTACGGTTTGTAAAGCAATGCTCGACAGTCAGTTTGCTGAAATATAACAACGTTAATTAAGCATTCCAAACAAAATGGCTACCAGTGGCTTTTGACAGGTTATGATATGGCAAGATTATGGCAACCCTGTAGGCCTAGTGATTTGTCAGGGACAATGACATAGCTAGTTATATAAATTGATTATCCATGTTTTTCAAAATAAACATGTATGTAGAAGTAAAAATGTAGATAATTATTTTTTTACTATATTCAAAGGCTGAAAATTGGTTGTTTTTACTAAACCGATTCTGATTAATGAACACTTGCAAGGCAATATGGCCGCTCGCAAAACGACCCGCTTTGAGCAATCTGTACAACTATATATGTGTAATTGACCCTGTCAATGACAGCAGGCCACAGGGTTGCCATATCTAAACTGTCAGTTCCCACTTGTCAGCATTTTGACGGCTCGTACAAATTACGATTTGACTTAAATTTATGAAGCGAGCTCAACACGCGTCTTCAAAAATCTCTTATTGGCTTGTGAATAACACAAGCACGAGCTGTTTGTCGTAAGTTGTTAATAATGTAATTTGTATCTTGGTGTAACGATTATTTTGAACATTATTAAAATAATAATAGTTAATAAACCTATTGAAAACGATTAGTCATCTGTGTATTTATAATAAAACAGATTAAAATTTTGGTATGTACCTATTTTAACAATATAAATACTGGGTCTTCAACAATACCGAAAACCCACGTGACCAAATCATCATGACAGCGATTGGTTAAAATAAAAGTAAAAATCCCTAGATGTGAGCCAGTGCCGTAGGTATTTTATTACAAAATAGATCTTCTTCTTTTTTTTTATGGTCTGTAACTGCGAGAACAAAATTCAGTTAGGTAACTGTTAGAATTACAACACAAAATCATAATATTAATTAGAGGAGGTGCTTTACATTATTGTATTTTAATGTTAGAATTCGATATTTTAATTAGATTTAGTCAAATGCAATAATTTAATTTTTAAAATTGAAATAATATAACCTTAAAAACTGAGCTATTTTTTTTGTCATCTGCATCAACTGCTACGGTTATTAGCCTCGTGTTCTGTGTAGGCCTTGTTACTGTTTCCCAGCGCCACTTTAGGAACAGCACTGTTAATTAGTACCCAACAGTGAATGGTCGAGTGAACTGAGCTATTATATCTAGTTTGTATTTAACGAAAAGAATAATAAACTGAAATATGCGTACTAGTTATTGCCACTATTACAAAAAAAAAACCTTAACCAGAAAGTTATGAACAAAAAAAGTTATGCATTAAAATATGAATAAAATTAAAAATTATTTACTTTAGACTGAGTCTAAGATATTTAGTTACAGCTGAAACTTTAAATACGATAAACAGAAGACAATGACAGTACTTGGCAATTATTGCAGTTTAACTAAACAAATTTAAAACTTACTGGAATTGTACCTGGGCAATGGGAAGTGATAAACAAATAATTTAAGTTTGTTCTATTATTTATTTTTTACAGGGTTTAAACCATTTACAAAATACATTATGTTACTTATATGTATACAAAAAAATATTAATATTATTAATGTAACAAGCACACATTTGTTTTACCTTACAGCTTTCACTTTAAATTATAAAGGCATACCTATAAACAACTATTTTATTTAAAAGGATATTTAGTAATCGGTGGTGCACAAATCTTTACCACTAGCTTTAATGCAAGCACCAATCGTTCTTTTTTGAACACATTATGCAGTTTCTTCTCAGTTATATTTTGTATTTTATTTAATATGTGTCCCAGTTCATAAACGTCACACAAACGATTTTGAATTGAGCGATTTGTAATATTCAATAGGTAGGTTTAACAAAATTAAGCTAAAATGATTGTTGCAGTACCGAAACTTTATAGGGGATGCATTATCAGAAATGTTTTCAATACTTTATGGCTAGTTCATAGCGACAAACCTAAAAAAAAAAAAATATAATTTGAATTTCATTTGTCAGAGTCAGTCTATAAAACACCGTTCATACCTGTTTGAAGTGCTGTTTTTTTTTACTAATTATTGGGAATTTGCAACATGTTAATTTGCACATCTTCAACAGCTTTTGTTATTACTTTGGGCCTTTTAGAACTTTTTCCTTTTTTATAATTTTGACTAAATATTTGTTTGTGACGACAAAAAAGAATCACATTCCATTTATTCACCTGGAAAACGTTCCTCAAATTTTGAAATACAATTACGAATATAAAATAATTTTGTTCCAGTGTAACCTGAAATAAATGATATACAGTCATTAACTTTTACGAGTTACAGTAAATAAATTTGTACTTACCAACAAAAAAGAATTAAACCGCCAATAATCTCTAAAAATAACTAATTGCTCTATTAATATTAAATGAAAAATGGAATAAAGGTGTTTATAAAATGTAAACAAATATAATATAAATATTCTGTCCCCAAATGAACGCCAGTGACATTTCTGACAGGACTGACAGTTTAGTTTAGTTCCTTTTACGTCAAATCAGGCCCTTTCGATGGGTTTTTGATGGTTATCAAATCACGTGGGTTTCGGGTATTGTTGAAGACCTGGTAGTATATTTCTTATAAATAGAACATTTTATTGCAGGAGATCGTTCCATGTAAGGAGATTGTTTAGGAATGGTACCAAAATTTATTTTTTATTTATTTTTGGAATGTGTTTATTAATTAAGTTAATTGTAGCAGTTTTAATTTTTTATTAATACCCACTCTCCTGTAAACATGACATCAAAATGTCAAATAAATACTAATTTTTCAATGTCCATTTGGGCACCAATTCCAAAAAATTCTCAAAAGTCAAATGTCAGTCGTTCTTGAGAAATGTCATCAATGGCTATGTTCACCGTCGTCAAACGTGTTGAAATGTGTGTAATCAGTGACGATGAACTGGCAGTCGCTTTCCTGTTTCTCCAATAATCTCCAGTCATGATGGATAATCATAAAAGATTAAATAGAATACGCTTTTATGATTCGAATTCTAAAAGTCGATCTCTTGTTAGGTTATATCTTTATTTATGGGTATTTCTCTTGATTCTGATTTAAAAAAATGGATTATGTTTTCATTATTGTTTATTATTTTTTATGGATTATGTTTTCATTAGGATTAATTATTATTGTTTATTATTTTTTTATAATAAAAGGTAAAAGCAAAATCAGGTACGGTCGTCTAAATGTCTTTAGTACCCACCATACTCCGAGAGCTGGTAGGTATATAAAAATATATTTATTTCTTTTTTTTGCAAATTGGTTTTGCAAGCATCTGGCAAAGTTGAAGACCCGAGTAAATAATCTGGCTTATCGATTTTTTTACTCTTTAAATATTCGAAAAAAAAAAATTTATTTGGAAATATGAGGTCTGTAGGTCTGTGTTAGGGTATTATAGGAGATGTATAGGACTAAAATGTCTACCAGCTCTCCTACTACTACTAATAACTCGGATCTCTCTAAAGACAAAAATTTCAAATCTCATTTGTTCTCAAAAAAATCAACAGTTAAAATTTGACGTAATGAAAACAAAATGCTTTATTTATGCACATATGCGGAATTTCCTGCTTTGACTTTTTTTTAACAAACTAAAGCGATAACAATATTATAGGAAATGTACCTGCCATAAATCTGTCCTTTTCTATCTAAATCGATTGTTGCACCTGTTGCTAAAACTTCGTTTTGTAGGATTGCAGTTCTCTTTTGAACAAGCGAAATTAACCAACACTTTTTTGTTTTGTTTCAGCAGCAGTGGCGACGACGTCCAAAGGTCCATCGAGTTGTTAGACCGAGTGCTCTCCGAATTCGATGATGTGGAAAATGCGAATCAGGTTCAGAACGTGAGTATCGTTGACCCATTTGCATTTTTATTCAATCACGAAACACGATTAGAATAAAATTGTTACTTTTAAAATACTAGTAACATCCTGAGTTTTTTTTTTAATTCAGGTTAATGTGACACAAAATATTTAACACGTTAACGCACGGAAAAAAATGTGACTAGAAAATTTTACTACAATGTTGTAGTAGTAGACTTGTAGAAAAATACTTAACAATTTGTAGAAAATTTTACTACAATTTATAGTTAAAAACTATTCATTATTGTAGCAATTGAATTGTCGAATAAAATGCTACAACAATAGGAAAAAAGTCTACAATGTTTAGTATATTTTACTATTGTTTGTAGAAGTAGAAATTTATTACAATTATCGAAATTACTACTACTAACTTCTGAAAAAATTTGTACAAATATTAATAATTATCTCTACAAAAAATAGTAATTTTCTCTACAAAAAATAGTAATAATTTACATCCCTGTTTATGAAAAAAATTCAATTTTGTTCAAAAATATTCTATAATATTGTAGAAATTCTAAATCATGTGAGCAAAACAGAATTCTGCTATTGGCCAACGTTTTCTTACGTCGATCATAAATGGCCAGACAGCAGTAGCCGTTCGCCATGTTCACATAACAAAGTATGGTACATATACAAGGACCTATAACACATTACTATATTATAAGCACCGATGCGTTTAAGAAAATTTTAATAATAAATTCTATTGGTGGTAAGTACATTTATTATTGTTTCTGAATAATTTACCTTTAGATAACTAATTTAAATAACCTTAGTAGATTATTTAAAAAAAATAGTTGTGGCCAACGATCGAATGTTGTGCCCAACGATCGAATTTTGTGCCAAGCTCAATGATGTTTTTTTTTGTCTTAATTGTGACATACCTACTTTCTTATTTTTGTTAGTTATCTGACTTAGTCATTTAATATCCAAATCAGTGTAAAGGTGATAAATATCCCCGTTTTAAGAGTATGAACAGTTCAATTGTTATTAATTTTTATATCATATTTTTCAGGTGCAGAAAAGCCAACTGAGACTGAGGGTGCTATTATTACTGTTCTTTATTACATAATGTAATTAAGACTTTGTATCTTTTATATTAAAACAATAAATTGAATATTTTATTAAGGAACATTTTTTTCTAGGTTATAATTATAACAATTATGGAATACTACTACAAGTTTTATTAAAAATTACTACAATTTGTATGAATTTTTACTATTTATTGTGTAAAATTTTCGTATTTATTTTCATAAAACGCAATACATTTTTAATATAAATTCATACATTGAATAGCAAAAATTATAACAATTTGTAGAACAATTCTTATGATGCATTTGGATATTTTTACTAAATATTGTAGATAATAACTCTACAATACATTCTCCACAAATATTTGGAAATTTTTACTACAAATTGTCCCTGTCCCTATATGTACTATTTATTGTAGAGAAAAAATCTATAATTGTAGAAATTTGTTCTACAATTTTTTTTCCGTGCGGCCGCGTTGTAATTAGTGTTTTTTTTTTAATAGGCCAAGTTGTTATTTTTGTTGTTTTTGATTGATTTTAAATAAAAATGTCTCTTATTTTTAACAAAATATGTTTAATTTCGCCTAAAATATAAAAAAAGGCGATCGCATGGGACCGCTGTGTCCTTCTAGGTCAGTGGTCGCCAACCTCTCAATGTGTTGAGCTACTTTGTTAATTTTGGAATAAACGGCGAGCTACCCACCAATTAATCATTATATGTATTTATTTTACTATTTAACTGGTAATACATAGTATATAGGTACTAATAATAAACTAATAACAAAATAACTAATATTACTGGTACGTACTTGTTCATAGCTACATTCCTACCTACCAAACGAAGGTGTTTGAAAAATAAACACAAACTTTTATCCAGCCACAATGGCATGTCACGTAAGATTTAAAAATAGTTAATAATAACAACAAAAAAGTAACGCATTATCATGAACATAAACATTGAAAAATAAAAAAGCACGTTCAATGAGAAGGCTGACACTCAGACTCATCGATCATTTTTTTAATGTTTGCAGTATAATTTGATACAGCCATTCGAATACAATTATCCAAATGTTCATCTGTAAGTCGATTGCGATATTTGTTCTTAATAAACTTCATATTGGAAAAAGAAGATTCACACAAATAGGTTGAACTGAATAATGCTTTCACTTTCAAGGCAACACGGTATATAACTGAATATTTGTCTTTACTTACAATAGGCCAGATACATTTGGTACTTGAGACTAACGATTTTAAGGCTAAATCATTTTGAAACTCAATTACTTCCATTTCTGTTGCAGCGATGTCTTCGCCAAAGTTCTGCATAACACAAGTTGCAAACTGTTGGATATCAATTTCCATAAAGGGTGAAACAACAAACTGCGCTACTAAAGCCATTTCGTTGAAATCCTTAAAACGATTTTTGAAGTAATTCTTCAGGGTAGAAACTATTTCTACATGATATTTGCTAATGGATTTTGAGATATTTTTTCTGAAAGAATAGTAAAATGCTTGGCATCGCTGTTAATGTCCCCAAAACTCCAGCTTTTTAATAAATGCTTCTATATCAGAAATCATTTCCGCTAGTTCTTTGTCTCTCCCCTGAAGCTGCAAATTAAGTTCGTTTAATTTCCACGAGAAACCCAAAATCTTTAAGCCAGATTGAATTTTATAGTTCCGGAGTCGGTTCATCGCGTTGTTTGAAAAATTGAACTATGCCAGATAGGTCATCATTAAAACGTTTCAGCACCCGTCCTCTACTTAACCATGGGACTTCAGAGTGAAGGTGTAGGTCCCCGTATTGACAGTCAACTTCATCGGCCAAGGTTTTGAATAATCTTCTTTGTAACGCTTGAGCTCTAATTTTTACCACCAGTTTTATAACGTTGTTTAGTTTTAGGAAATTTCCACATAATGCTTGCTGATGGATAATGCAGTGGTAACAGAGAAATTGCGGAAAAGTTTTATCTTTACGACATAATGCCACCAGACCCTTATCACAACCCACCATAGCTGGAGCGCCATCGGTTGTCAAGCCTACCATTTTCGATATTGGAATTTTCTCGGAAGAAATAATATTTTTTAAATGAGAAAACAACTCCAGTCCAGTAATGTGTCCTTTCAGTGGAATAAACTTCAAAAGATCTTCTTTAATCGTAAAATCACTAAAAACCATCCTGACGAACACGGCCATCTGGGCAGTGTCAACGACATCTGTTGATTTATCCAGTTGAAGTGAAAAATAAACACAGTTTTCTAACTGTAAAAAAATATCATTGCTCATTACTTCTACACGTCTCATCACTGTATTAGCAGAAAGTTGCATAGATTTTATAGCTGAAACTATCTCGTCTTTATTTCAAAAGTTGGCAAATAACGAATCAGCAGCTTCTAAAAACGCCTGTTTTATCATTTCCCCGTCTTAATAAGGTTTCTTTTTTTGTGCAATTATCTGGGACACACGGTACGAAGCTTCATTTGCAGCCTTATTTTTGTCGACTGTTCTTAAAAATATTGATTGTTGTCCAATTAACTGCTTTTTTAACTGTTTCAGTTTCTCCTTTCTGGCCGCAGAATGTAGTGGGAATGATTTTTCAAAATTAGAATGTACAGTTTTATGATGTCTCTCAATATTTCCTTTTTTAGCAACGGAGACCCGAAGTAATACATAACAAACACACATTTTTATCATTAACTTCTGTAAAAAAGTATTGTTCTTCCCATTCCGAATGAAAGTGGTATGTCTTTACCTTTTTACAACTGCTTGCCATAATATTATTTTTTTGTTGTTCTCTACTAACCCAACCGCTGGACGTTGGTTACGCGTTCAGTTTTAAACTAAGCGCAATGTCGCCGCGCCGTGCGTATTTATCCCGTTCAAAGCAATCCTGATCGTTCTCGAACACACTAACGCGCTGGTCCGGCTGGTCGGTTCTAGCCGATTCTAGCTTGATGGCGTCAGCAACAGATCGCTCACCGCAACGTTGCCGCTGTTTATGTTTAATATTATGATAATTAAATTTTTTTGTGGAATTTTCGGAAGCTTCTCTGATTTTTTAAATTAAAATCGTTGTGAGAGCTACCAGAATTGCCTCCGCGAGCTACCGGTAGCTCGCGATCGACAGGTTGGCGATCACTGATCTATAGGTTCAACAAAGCGATCATGTTTCCGCTCTTAAACCGAGTTCAGACCTATTTTTGAATTTAGTTAGTTGGTAACACACTACAAAAAAATATTTTTTGGGTTGGTACCTTATACATTACCGTACACCGTAGGTAGGTAAATAGAAAACAAGATACATACGAATTACTGAATTCCTAATTAATAGAAGTTGTTTCGTAAAAATGGATGAAATGTCTGAAGACGGAGATTTTTTAGAATTAGCAAATATCTTACAACAACCAGAAAGACAACCATAAATATATAGACCAAGGGACAATCATTTTGTGAAGTGGAACAATAGGTACTGAATTTGTAAAAACATTTGTGAATTAAATTCACTTTCAATTTTTATCCAGCACTCTTTCTTCTTGTGCGTTACATTCACATCTGTGTTTATATTTTCTAAAATGTCTTTATATTTTTTCGCTAGTTTCACTAGTCCTTCTTCGGCATGCGTGAAGTTTGGCGTTGTGTATATTATCAGTTTGGAAACACGATGGAAAACTACGTATAACCTCTAAAAATAATAATTTTAGAGTAAAAAGCCAAAAATGACATTGTATATAGCTCATTCATTTTCTAATAAGAGAAACAAAGATACACTACGTATTTAGTCAAATTAAAATCTGGCAACCTTGAACAATGAAATTTATCTAAACCGACATTGAGCGGGGTATGTACAATTCATACCAATTTTTAAAGTAAGTTCAACCATTTACCGGTTTCACCTGAACCTAGGTTTTAGCTTGCTTTGTACAATCGGGCCTTGTGGTTTGCTCAGATTTGTAAAAATG